TGTGCTGTAAGAAACGATGAACAGGCAGACTTCAGAAAAACCTGGAAAGACTTGTATGGTCTGATGCTAAGTAAAGTGAGCAGGACCAGGAGAACCTTGTACACAGTAACAGCCAAGTTGTACCATGACTTACTTTGATAGACTTAGCCTTTCTCAGCAATACAAGGATCTAAGACATCTCCAAAGGCCTCATGATGGAAAATGCTATCCACATCCAAAGACAGAACTATGTAGTTTGAATGCAGATTGAAGCATACTATTTGCTATTTTTTTCCTTCTGTTGTGTTTTGTTTCCTCTTTCTGGTGGTTCCTCCTGTTGGTTCTAATTTTTCCTTACAACATCACTAATGTGAAAATATGCTTAATAGGAATGTATATGTATAGTCTATATCAGATCGAATGCTGTCTTGGGAAGGGAGGTGCGGAAAGAGGGGGAGAAGAATAAAAAATTTTTAAAAATTAAAAAAAAATAAATAAATAGATAAATAGATAACTAAATAAATAAATAAATAAATGCCTCTTCCTTTCCCCTTTGTGCAAAGGAGAAAGTTCCACCCAAGATCACTTCCTTCCCTCAAATACTTTGTTTTTATCCTTCTTAAAACATTATCATAATATCACCTTACTTGTTCCTGAAAACAACCCTAAGAGAGAGTCAGAGCAGTAATTATCCCCATTTTACAAATTAGGGAAACCGAGGCACTGGGCCTAATGAGACTTGCCCAAGGTCACGCAAGGAGTTAATGCCAGAGACCAGTCTTTTGACTCCAAGCCCAATCTTTTCCTGCTTTATGCCTCCAGTGGGCATATGTGTGTCTGGGTAGAATTTCATGGAAGACCCTTAGGATAAGGCTTAAACTATGGAGCAGCACCCAAAGCTTCCCTCCCCTTTCATCTCTTAACCTACCACATTTTGGCCTGGCTGTACCATGGCAGCGGGCACCTCTACCTTCACCAAGACACATCGGTCAGAGAGATAGGCCTGGAAGGAGAGTATGATTTCTGCCTGGAGAGATTCTGTGGGAGACACAATACAATTGAACTTGGTAAACATTCATGAATCACCTACTGAGTGCAGAGGGCAGTAGTAAAACACTGTGCTAGAAACAGCAGCCTGGGCTGATCTGAAGAGTAAAGCAGGGATCAGGGCAAAGGGAATAGCATGCAAAGAGCCATCCTTCCCCAGGGAGGAGCAGAGCAGAGAGGGGGCTGTCTCACCATTCCTAGGCCAAGGTCGAAATGTCAGTTCAGCATCTTCTTGGAGCCCATCCTCCTCAGGATCCTCCTTCCTAGGCTCTAAAATAACTCTGTAAAGGCATAGCCCCTGTGCCCTAGCACCCCGCCCACCCCCAGCTCAGACACAGTGAGTAAGTTTTCTGGCCCCTTTCCCAGCTTTTCTGGAATTCCTTGTGCTGGGAAATAAAGCCTCTGGGCTGCATCCCAAGGGGTCCTACCTTCCTTAGCTGCTGAGACCTGAAATGGAGGCACCCAGGTAGGAGGACCCCTGAGCCAACAGCTGAGTTCCTGCCATTTCTAGAGAGTTTAAGGGGACATCCTTCTCCCCAAAACCTTCTCTACACCTAGCTGTGGGCCTGAGCCCTCCTTGGATGACCGGCTTTCTTCTGCCTTCACCACTCCCTTTCCCCTATCTTTTCAATCCCTTTGGATCTCTTCCCCCATCAAATCTAATGACATACATAGAAGGCATGAAAAATTGTTCTATCCTTTGCCCCAGCCTTGGCCCCTCTTTCCTCCCACCAACATCTCTCCCTTTCCCCTCTTCTTTTTCCCATTGAGATTTTTTCCTTGCTCCTTCCTTTATCCCATCAGGAGCTCTCCTTCTTAAGTGAAATGTTGTCTACTACCAGACTACCCTGCTCCCCCATCCTACACTTACAATTTTAGGATTTAGAGCTAGAAGAGACTTTGGAGTAGCACCTTTATGTAACAGATGTCCAAGGTCACCCAAGAGAGGCAGTATAGTTCAAAAAAAGACTATTTGTTCTGGGATCAGGGGACCTGGGTTCAAATGCCATCTCTGGGCAATCTCCCTGAGTCTCAGTTTCCTAATCTGTAAATTGGAAAGGCGGGGGGTGTTGAACTAGATGGCCCCTAAGGTCCATTTTAGCTCTAACCCTATGATCCTATGAATCTAGACAGGAGAGTGAAAGAACCGAACCCAAATCCTCTGACTTCAATCCAGTCTTCTTTCTACTGTGCCAAACTGTGTTCCTACTAGCTTTCTCTCCCCTCCTTCAGGTCCTTTTTACCTCTTACCCTAGACCCCATCCTACCCCCAGGACTTCCTCTACCCTCCACCTCTTTTCATATTGGATAAACCCTCTTTCTGTCTTGCCCCCAGGAGGTGCCTCCCCACACGCACATAGACACACACACACATATAGACACACACACACAGAGTCTCTCACCCTGCACTGTTAGGTGGAGGGTCACTCGAACACAGGGGACACAGTTACTCTCTTCCCTGCATCGAAGAACCACCTCTGTCTGTAGCTTTGTGGGCACCAGCACAAGGTCTTGGGGGGGCTCGATTCTCTCCAGCAGGCAGAGCACATCATCTGAAGGAGGAGGCAAGTGGCAGCCTTTGGAAATACCCACTCCACCCAGGCCAGAACAGAGGTGAAGGGGAACAAGGGAAGGATACTGTGCTTGCCCTCAATACTAGTACAAGGGTGGGTGCCCATGGGAGGAATTCCCTAGGAAGCCCCAGGGAACCAGCTCAGCCAGACCTAAGAGACTGTGGAGGTCTCCAGAGAGCCAGTGGCACGCAAGTAAATTCCATCTCCAGTCTTCTCTTGATACTCACCCCAAAGGTGACATGAAAGGCCCTAGGAGAAAAAAGGGAGTTTACAGGTTCCATGTCTTTCCTTACCCAATTTTCACACATGCATCCCTGAGCTCCCAGAAGTGGGGTTCAGATTACGTATTAGCCCTGAGGATATAGAGAGACAGCTAGGACCTCCATGAGTCCAAAACTCCAAAACTTTCCAGAGGTACCTGCTGCTCAAATCTCGTGTTCTAAGTACAAAGATTTGAAACTGCTGAAGCCCCAGAATATCCAAGCCTGTAGCCTGGAGGGAAAGGATGAGCAGAGCTAGTTGTTTGCCTCTCCGCCCCCCCCCCCCCCAACTCTGCCCTTCCCCCTAGCCCAGCACCAGCCTTACCTAGCCAGACCTGAAAGGGCAGTTAGACTGGAGATGGGCTGGTGGTGGCAGGTACTGCCAGAGCCCTAAGCCAGAATGTGTACTCTTCCCCGGTCATTCTCTAAACCCCTCCAAGACCCCCAGGAAGTCCAGGGTTTCCAACCTACCTGAGAACATCGAGCATCATCATGGGACTCTGCCAACTTCTCCAAAGAGAAGACCCAGGGCCTGCTACCAAGAATCAAGGAAAAGAAGAGGAGTAGCCATGGAACGGGCATCTTCTAGTTGCCGATCAAAGTTGTCAGCCAGGGCTCAGGCCCGAGGCTGCTCCCCCTTGGGGGGAGAAGCTATTTCTGCCCTCCTCCACCCAGGTCTGTTGTGGTCAACTGTTGCTTCTTTCCTCTTGGATGCCAAACTAGTATCCTGGTGGGGCCAGGGACCCCTCCCCTCCCACTCCTATCCTGGCTCTGGGGCCTCCTAGGGTGGGAGGGTTGGGAAGAGATTCCAGTCACTAGGCTCCCAGGATCCCTCTTCAGTTTGGTCTCTGAATCCAAAGTGCTTTCGATTCAGCTCTGAGCCCTGCTATCCCCGCCTCCTGTTCCAGCCCCTGTCCTGTCCCTCCCACAAAACACTGGGCCCCGTGCCCAATCTGGATGACTGGGAAGCAGGCAACTCACTGGCCACTCCACACAAAGTACAACCCTCCCAATTCTCACACACACACACACACACACACACACACACACACACACACACACACACACACACACACACACACAC